AAAGGTCAATTCTGACACCAGATTAAAACTGTACTCTTGAATTTTATTGCTAGTAGAAACCTACATATTGATTACTTTTCCCCTGAATGTGACAGCATTTTCCAAATGTAGTCCTCAGAGGTCTAGCGTGTGGAAAGGAAATATGATGCTCATGAAGAAAACCTGTATCTAGAAAGAGAACTCTACAGGAGCCACTGGACAGCTCAGTTTATCTAGAGTGGACGCAAGAATTTTAAGAGTCAGAGTCTGAACACCAGTTGATGTTAAAAGGGGATAGACCTGGCTATACATCAGGACCAGGTCGCACAGTCTATGAACTTGATAGCAAAGAAATGATCAGGGCTTGTTAAGCTTTCAACCTGTATGACACAAGACAGATGAGGCCATAACTACCCGATGATGGAAATTTCTGTTCCCGTTTCCCAAAGAACACCAGAAATTGGCAAAGCTAAGGACTACCCTGAACACGGTTTCCAACCATTACTACTTTGCACAGCCCACTGCATACCCTGGATCCCAGCCTACCACCTTCTCTGGGGTCTTGCTACTCTGAGATGCAATGCTTGTATTTTGCTCAGAGCTTCCTTTTTTTTGCAGGAGTTCACCTCACTATAGAGTCTCTATGTTCCCTGCACAAGGGAAGAAGAGCCCTCAGCCATCTCGCAGGAAGATGATAGCAACTGCATGGGGATTCCAAGATGTTTTAGTGCAGCTTTTCATAAACTGATTATATTTAAAGCTCCCATGGGGAGTGGGAGGCAGGGGCTGGGAGGAAAGAAGCTTCGGGAGAAGACCTTTGCTGGCATGAGTGAGGAACTGCTCAGACCTCCCTGGGGAACAAGCTTGTTAAATAGGAGCAATCAGCATTTCCAAGCACATGTGCACACACAACATGACTAGAGTCTGAAATTTCATCTCCACCTCCCAAAGGGTCTTGAAAGGGTTAAACTGTTCCAGGCAAAGGCCTGTGCTTTTTCTATCAAAATGCTCCAGATGGAAATTACAAAAACTCACTTCTCAGTTCTGTGTTGCACACACACTGTTCTAAGATATTGAGAGAGAGAGAAGCTGACTGCTTAGCACACAGTGCCACAGAGACTATTCCTCCTGGAATCTTTGCATTAACTGTTGATCTCAAGCTTCTAGGAGACTGCAAAAACTCAAGGTATGGAGTAGCGACCTTGAATGAGGAAGCTATGGGGACCATGAATAAGGAAAGATAATACCTGGAACTGTAAGCAGTGATGTGAATTCATTCAAATACAGAGTCTAGGATGTCTGGTACTATGCCCTGCATCTCCTCATCTTTTGTTGATAAGTACCAGCAAAGAAGCTAACAGGATAGAGGCCAAAGGCACCAGATTATGACCATGACTCTGACCAGGGTTTTCAAGAATATTCAGAGATGAATGTATATTAAAGTGCTTTGTAAACTGGAAAAGCTATGTGGAAAGACTAAATATGTTAGTGCTTTCCAGTCTGACATTGAGAGGCATGAACTTTCAAAGGAATCTGAACACCCACAAACCAGAAACAATGATGGTTTTTAATAAGGCAGCTACATGGCAGGCTGACCAGGGACGCAAGTACCCCTCATAAAACCACACTGGGGTGGCACTGGGGCTACAGTCTCAGAGTTCTTCAGGACACATGAAAGCAGGTGGTTTCAGGGGAGGCAAAAACCACAGGACAGAAAGTCCCACGAAGTCCATTTAGAGACTACTTGATTCAAACCATCCCTCACTGAACAGCAGACCAAGGACTCTGGGCAGGGACATACAGAACAACAAGTAGCCAACACTTAGACAGTTTACCTGTTCATTTTGCAAAAAAAGGAAACTCATGTCCACAAGTTTGAAATGTCTTCTGTTACTACTAGATGAATTTAGAATTCAAGTTTCATTTCTAGATTCGTTGCCTATTATTTAAAGACTGGTGCTTTGAGAATGAATACAACACGCAGGCTTACCAACCAGCCCAAGTCAGCAAGGAAGGCTTACTGAAGAGGGGAAGGATACACAACCCTTGAACACTAACACAGGCCAGATCCTGTGCTAAATGATCAATATATACCATCTCATTGACTGCCCACAACTCTCTTAGGAAATACCTATCATTTTGCCTACTTTCCAAATTAAGAAACTGAGGCTCAGACAAATCATACAATGAGTGGCAGAATGGAAATTTAAACCCTGACCCCTTTGATTCAAACCCGTGCTCTTAAGCACCAATCCAAACTGCTTTGCTGTTACAGCAAATTTCTTTTTTTTATCTTGGCATCTATAAGAGAAATAAGGGTGGCAGCATGAGAGCCCCACAGAACACATAGAGCTAAAACCCATAATTCTGATAGAAGGGCTTCCAGATAGGAAGGGACAGAGTCAACCCTGAATCCAGATTCTTTGTCTAAAAATTCTTTGCTCTTCCAGAGTACAGGTTCTAGAATGTATGCTCCATTATAGTTGGGATTCTTCCTTCTTCTCTGCTATATAGGCTTCCCCTGCAACACATAATAGGCACTCAATAAATAACTCATGATTAAAGCTACAGTCCAGCAGTGTGACCTTGGAAGGGCCTATTATCCTTTCTGAGCCTCTGTTTCCTCATGTGTTGAATGGAAGATGACCATAATATCCACTTCCTGGACTGATGTAAGGATTAAACAAGACCATTTCATGTAAAGCACTTCAGACAGGATGAAACATAGTGAGCACCCAAAATGTAAAGTATTATCATTTTCACTGTTATTCATTGGCATATTTTGGCTCCTTCAGAATTTTTTCCCCCACCCTGATTAGATAATGTTTCATAGTAAAGACACAGAATAGGGAATTGGAAATCAGCAAACCTGTTTCTAGCTCAGATCTCCTACCACCTTACTAGGTGACCTTGGACAAGCCTCTTCTGTTCTCCATTCTCTCCTCAGCTATAAAATAAGGAATTAAACCATTCAGATCAGTTCCCTAAGCATTCACCGGGTACCTTATCTGAGGAAGCTATCAATGCTCAATCACCTATAAAATTCTATGACCCTGAATAGTGTCAATAGAAAAATATTGGAGCAAAGCAAAACAGTCTCCTGCTTGTGGCAAGGTTGAAGAGAAACCCCAAATAGCTGACTGCATTACATCATCTCAATGAGCAATGTTTGTAAATATACCAAGTGCTTAATTTTGAGACACTCGTGAGAAATCCTTTACCAATAAGAAATTGGCATGTTCTATTAACACCTATCGCCTTGAACCTTCCAAAAAATAAGCATGTAAAATCACTTTGCACCTTAGTCAAATGGTGTGCTTCTGGAGAGAAATCTGGGAAAGTCAAAGTTATTAACACTCCCTATGGCAACAGTTAAGAATAGGATGTATTAAAAGAAAAAAGAGGAAAAAAATGACATATGTGGCTAAAACTGCAGGGGGGATTCCAAGAGCAGAATGAAGTGCATCTGAACAGGACAGAGGCCAGTGGCCTATTGTTTACAAAAACAGGCCCAGATTATGAACAGTGACAAGAGGCCAAGACCTCAATTATAACTCACAACCACACCTCTCTCAATCCCAGCCCAACTGAAGCTATCAATCAGTCAACTCCCCCATCTCTGTAATAAACCTACCAATATTTGCAGCCAAGTGGATAGAAGGTCCCTTAGGGCACCTCAGCATTGACCAAACTGATGACATACAAAAGATCCTGCAGTCACAATGGGGACTTCAAACTACCTTCCAACCTTCCAAGAGATAAGGCAGCTGCCCATCACACACTCTACCTCTACCCCCACCCCAGGCAATCATTAGAGGGGAGACATGGCCCTTCCCAAGTCCTCTGTGATAGGAAAGGTCTCCTTGCATTAGTGCAGGGAAAGAAGGAGGGGCCCCTCCCTCTGTACTCTGAAACAAAGGAAAACCCAGAGCTCCAACCATGTGGTGTAACATTCAAGGCCACCCACCTCTCCCACTCCCCAGCTAGGGTCTCAATGGGCTGAAGTGGCATGGCTCTTCTAGGGACTGGTCAGGAAGAGCCAGTGCCTTGCACAAACACATGCTAGATATCTTACACAGGCAGGAACCCCTCCTAAGGGAAATGCGCTGATTAAGAAAAGGCTATTTGTGTAGGGGCTCTGATGGACCAGCCAAGTCAGGCAGTGGTGCACTAGATGAAGAGACAGGTCACTTGGTTTCTCCAGGTCCACATTTTGCTTTACCCTTCACATTTTTGCAGAGAAGGAAATGGGGCTTCGAAAGCATATATTCTGGAGCACAGGTCAACTACACAGAAGGGCTTAAAAATTATGTCTCCCCATTTTCCAGAATCAGCACCACCCTGAAACCCTAACACCCCAACTCTATTCAGGTTTAGGTAAGGGTGGAGACCGGGTGTGGATGGCCTTATTCTTTTTGTCCTCTGATCTCTAACTGTATGCAGAATGACCAGGGATGGAGCAGGTACAAGGTGCACCCAATACGGTTAGGCACTTTTGTACAGGGTACCATTACAAATCTCAGGCTTTGACATAGTGCATTAGAAAAAACCCCGCCTCTCCCAGGGCTCTCCAAATGGTACACCTTCCCAAGGTTGCCTTTCTGTCAGGACTCCCCTTCAACCTCTGAATTAAATGTCCAAACACCTGTCAGATTTCACTTGTCCTTCAAGGAAACCCGACCCAGACAGGGGGAGGTGAGTGCCGAATTGCCACCTTTTTCTCTCCAAGAACCTCCTGCCCCTCCCCCCACCCTGTCCAAGCTTGGGGGAAAGGGCTGCCAAAATAATGGCCAGACCCACAAAGGCACTCCTAAAGCCCACTCCAGTTCTTTACCAGTGCCTGTGGCCCCTGGCACTACCCATCCTCAGGAGACTTGGACCCATCTATGAAACCACCTCTGGGGTCAGCCTGCCCCCACCTGCTCCACCCAAAGAAATGAACAGCCTGCAAATCAGGGTGGAAATGCATGCCTCACCAGTCCATAGAGCACATGCATTATGCCATTTTTCAAAGCCCTTACCTTTGACCTGAGTATCGTACTCTGCTATGATCTCCTTATCCTTTTTGAATTTGGCTGGAGACGTCATGTTTTCCTTCTTTCTTCCAAATTCGAATTGTGAATTGATAGATCCAGGAGAAAAATCCAACCAAAAAATCAATACCTCCAAGACCGATTCTCCCAAGGGCAGAAGGGGCCCCCCGCGGTGGTCTCCAGCGCTCCGGGAGCGCGGGCTGAGCAGGCGGCTACGGCGGGCACATGCAGACGGTGGGCGCTGGGGCCGAGTACAGCGGCGACTGGTTCCTGTGCTTAAAGCCCGAGCCACAGCTTCAGCATTAGCCTGGTGAACGGCAGCGCCCGCAGCCTGGCCTGGGGTCTGACATCAACGACACAGGCGGGGAGTGGAAGTCCTTCCGCACAACATGGTGTGGGGGTGCGGGGGTGTGGACGCGCCCAGCTATGTCCCTGGGAGGGAGTGGGTTTGTATCGGGGTGCCAGGGGAGGGCTGGGCGTGCTTCGCGGTTTTTTGTCGTCCAGGCTCAAAGATGCTGCAAATCAAATCCCAAACGGGAGCCGCAGCAGCGCGGACTGGATCGGAAGTCGTTTGCTCCGGTTCACTTGCCTGTAAATGCAGGAAAAGGGGGAGGGGGCGATCAACCCAAGAGCAGATCCTAATCGCAGCGGGGGTGGGGTTGGGGATGTCGCTCCGAGCCTGGCCTTGGCCCATTCATCTCGGCCAAACGCTGCCTGGCCAGCAGAGCCCGGCCCGGAGAGGTGGGGAGGAAGGAAGCTCCCTCCGGATTTTGTTTTAAGGCTGAAAGAAAACACTTTGGAGCAGCCGCCTGCGCGGGCTCCGGGCGGGGACTGCGGCGGGAACGCGGAGCCCCGGGCGGGGACTGCGGCACCTCGGCGGTTTCCCGAGCTCCGCCAGCACTGGGCAGCCGCCAACCCAAGGGGGGCCTCGGTCCCTACCCGCGACTCGGCCCCTGACCCCTGGCTGGAGCACCTCCCTGGACATCAAAAGGGATCAAAGCCGGAGAGGGACAAGCCACCCGGGCACAACTTTTCTTCCCTTCCCGCCCCTCCTCCCAGTTGTTTTGTTTTTGGTTACTAGCTTCTCTTGGCAGCAAAATGTTGGGGGGGGGCGGGGGGAATCTGCAGGAAAAAGCCTGCTCCGCACGGGACATATCCAGGAAAACAATGTGGTCGGCAGAAGCAGGAAACGGGTTAGAGGCGAGGGTCGGAACCGGGAAAACCGGGGGATGGGGGACGGAAGGCAGCCGTTGCCTCCCCCAAAACCAGGGACGAGAGTGACTTTAATGCCATCCCCAACATTTTTTTGTCACCCAAGCCCAGGAATCCCAGATACCGCACCCAATCCCAGTCTGGGGGTGGGGAGAGATCTTTGCGAGGAGGTGCTGGAGAAGATACCTCCCTGGCCAAGGCCCGGGAGGCTGGAGGGAAACAGGCGGGAGCGCGAAGGCCGGCGTCTGGTTCCCTGTCTCGCCGCAGCGGGGACCCTCCCTCCTTGGCCGCCCCTTTCCTCCCTCTGAGCGCCGGGAGGAGGTTCCGCGAGTATCTTCCACTTCCCGGGGCCAGAGGAAGAGCCGCACTGAGAGAGGCAGAGAAGGAGTAGAGGCGGCGTGGTTCAGGCTGGCAGGAAGCGAGGAAGCAGTTGTGAGGTGGGGTCCTGAGGCTGGACGGGAGCCCGGAGACAACTAGAGCTGCATATGTTTGGAAATCCGGGAGAGGGCTAGGAGAGGATGGTCTTGGGGGTGAGGGTCAGTTGGGAGGCTTTGGTGGGCTGGGATGTTACGTGAAGTACAAGGATGTTAGCAACTCTGGTACCGAGAAGCGGGCCTGGGAACCGGAGTGGGTGAAGAGGAGCCCCTCGGAGTGGGCTAGGAGGGTAGGACAAGGAAAGAGCCCCGGAAGCTGGGTGGAACACCCATCCTTCTGAGTCCTGGTCCGTGACCTGGGCTTTCTGCCAGAGCTAGGAGACAGGGGAAGAGGCCAGCCGATGGTCACCGGCTACGCCAATGACGGCTGCCCCAACGTGGACCCAGGCTGTGATGAAGAAAAGGGGAGGGGGCTGGATGCAGACTGCGCTCGGATAAGTAAGCCAGGACAGAATTTCAGGCAGTGCGGTGATGGGCGGAGAGACATGCAGTCCTGAGAAGTATTATGGGCTGTACTGGGAGATTTGGAGAGGGTCGGGGGCGAGGGGGGGCGGGCTGAGGGATTCCAGGCGCGCCGCACAGCCAAGGCGATGCCGTGATCAGCATCCGCGCCCTCTCCTTCCCGCCCCAGCCCGGGTTTGTTCGGTCAGTGATCAAGCCTGGAAGTAGGGAAGGAAGAGGAGAGGGAAGGAGCCTTTACCTGGCTCTGACGCGACGGGTCTCGGGCCCCTGGCTCCACTTCCCACTCGGAGCTCTCCTCCCCTCTCTACCCCACCACCCGCTTCTACGCAGATCGGCCCCCCAGTCCCCTGAGGAGCCTCCGCCAACTCCGCAGGACCCCGCCGGGAAGCTGAACCCACCCCTTTACCAATCACCGCCCGCTTTCTATCGACCGATGGGGCATCCAGCCAATAAGAATAGCTGATCTCAAGACCAGCGACATGGGGAGGAGCCTACGAAACTTGGAGGTGTGACTAACACTCACTGCTGAGGCGTGGTCCCAGAGTAAGCTCCTCCCGGGGCTGTCGAACCCTAAAGTAGAACTGATGGGCGGTATTAAAATGGAACCGACAGCCAAACACAAACTCTTGAGAAAAGCCATGACCAATTGGACTGGGGTAGGGAGGAGGGGCGTTGGCGGGGAATTTTAGCCAATAGAGAGCAGAAGTAGGTGGGGACTGTAGAACATCTTCCAATAAAAAACGTAAAAGGGCGTGCCTTGCCACTCCACCAGGGCGGGAGGAGGGTTGGCCCGAACCTCCCGAAATCCACCAATGAGATGGGAGGCGGAGCCAAGCTTGGCCAACCAGAAAGCCTATCTGATCTCGGCACCGTTACTGGGGCGGGGCGTACGGTCTCCAAGCCATTGAGCTCTCATCAGAGGAAGGCCCGAGAGCTGCCAATGCGCGACTTGGGCGAACTCTAGTTCTCCCAATCGGTGCGACGCGCTGGCAATTCAAACTGACAGCCGGAAAAAGCGGAAGAAGGAGCAAAAAACGACGTGTTCGGTGACAGACTACAGCGCCGAAAGAACCTAAAAAGCGACCCCTGCTCCACTTCACCAGCACCACCGCTCACTCAGGAGCAGCCGCTGTGGGAGACACCTGAGGGGACCGCGAGGGAGAACTGAGGGAGGGAGGACGCGAGACGGCGCGAGCGCGAGCACGCTGAGGGCCGGGGGTGCTGGGAGCCGAGCTTGCGGCCAAGCAGTGCTGAGAGTCACGGGAGAACGGAGGATTGAGGAGAGCCAGGGTCCTCCCGGTGGAAAAGCTGAAGGGTTCTGAATCCTAGGAAGAGGTGGCGTGGGGGGAGAGGGAGGAATTGGAGAGCTCCGCAGGAGTGGCTTAGGCTGGGAGAGGGATGTGGTTAGAGAGAAGCTTTAAATAAAAAAGACTGCTGGAGAAGCCTGGGGGAATTGCTGAAGGGGCGGGGGCTAAAGAGGAGAGGATCCTCACAGACCGCAGAAAGGGAAAGCTGATGACAAAGTTTCCCTGCAAACCCCACTCACCTCCTCCCCACCTCTAACGCCTCTCCCTTCTCCGGAAGTTAAAAGGAAGCCAAATTGTTGCCCCCACCCCATTCCCAATCAATAAATATTTCTTCTATCCTTCCACTGGGAAAACAGGAAAGGACTCTTTTCCTTCCCAATTTTAGGACTTATAAGAACTCGTGACTTGGTCTTTAGACTAGGGGGCTCAAAGTAGGAAGGCTATTGCTCTTATTTCCTTTTTCAAAACCCCGCACCTCATCCTTCGTGGGACGCTATGTCTACAAACAGTTGTAGCTTCAAGGACCGATGCGTGTCCATCCTGTGTTGCAAATTCTGTAAACAAGTGCTCAGCTCTAGGGGCATGAAGGCTGTTTTGCTGGCTGATACTGACATAGACCTTTTCTCTACAGACATCCCTCCTACCAAGTAAGTCAAGCTAGTGCCGGGCAACGGTAGTCTTTAACTAAATGGGGAAAGTGTATGGCTTGGATCTCTGGGAGTCAACTAGGAGGTTATCATTTGATGTTCCAGCCACTCCCAAACGTCTGATGATCCCTTTGGAATATATCTAAGTGGGCAGACTGTCTGGACAAAGTCTGTGGTTTAGCCAAAGTGGTCAGTCCTGATGTAATGCTTCTAGTTCAATTAAGGTCACGTGGCTGCACATCTTTCTTAAGTTGGATCCCTGGCTCAAGGCCCTGCATAACCTTCCTATCTTATTGAAACAATTTCGTGACCTAGACTCAAAATAAATTCGGCAAGATTTTCAGTACTGTTGGAGAAAAGTCACATAGGTGTTCATGTTTTTCCAGTTCATATTTTTTCCAGTTTCACTATTATTTGCAACTGGCATACTGAATCAACTCCCCAATATTCTTGTCTCTTTCCTCTTCCCCTAATGAGATAGACTTAGATTTTTAAGTGAGAAACGTGGAGACTTAGTCTTAAAATTATTTTTATTCCCCATAAAGCCTATTTTGGATATTATTGTTTGCATAATTGAACCCTTTTAAAATTCAATTTCAGCGGTTTCCCACTTTTGAGTGAAGAGTCCTTAAAATTTCCTTCCTATATGGTAAAATAGCCATTTACTTGACTCAAATATACCTTTATCTAGCTCTAAAAGAATTTTTTTCTTTCCATAATCAATATATATGTGCCCTACATGATTTCCAAGATGATTATTATTTATTGAAACTTTTTTATTAAGATGAAAGTAATTATTTAAAAATATTAATAGATAGCTATTCTTCAAATCTTTGGTTACAGACTTGGGAGAAAGCAAGCTAATAGCCCTAATTCTTTTTAAAAAGTTCATGGTAATGACAAACTTTTAAAGTTTTTAAATATACCCAAATAAAGCTACAGGCTCTTCTGTAAACAAGTGCTCAGCCAAATTTCCCTGAATTGTTTTAAGTATAGTCACACTTAACTGCAAAGCCAAGAACTAATTTATTTCAGAGATAAATGGATTAATATTTTGAAACACCATTTGTTACTTAGATCTATTTTTTAAAAGAGTCTGTGTGTGCACCTGTGTGCTGCAAAAAAGAAAAATTTATTGTCTAGTGTTTTTTCTTTTTAGTAGCACATAGTTACAATTTTTAAATATTAACCTTTTTAGCTTTTCAATAACTATGATAAGTAATAGGAGGATTCAGGTGAATTATTGAAGGTTAGACTATACTACAATAGAATCAGATCTTTTCTATTGTTTATTCTTCTTTGTCAGAGTTATAATAGTGATGGGTTAATGTGCTGAGAGATGAGTAAATCAATGAATGCGTAAGATTTTTAAATAGAAGCTTTGCCAGATGTTTATAATGAGCTTACAAATATTAACTAACTCTTACAAAATATATTATAATTCTACCTTAGAGTCTTGGTTATAAAATTTAATTGCAGTTTAGCACAAATTATAAAATTTGTGCTAAATTGCAATTAAAAGTACATTTGATATGAGAATGCATAGAAATTAGAACACTTGCATACTGTGGGAATGAAAAATTGTACAGCTGATATGGAAAACAGCATGGTGGTTCCTTAAAAAATTGAACATAGAATTACCATATGAAGCCGGGCGCTGTGACACACAACTATAATCCCAGTCTCTTGGGAGGCTGAGGCAGGAGGATTGCAAATTCAAAGCCATCCTCAGCAAAAAGTGAGGCACTAAGAAACTCAGTGAGACCCTGTCTCTAAATAAAATACAAAATAGGGCTGGGGATGTGGCTCAGTGGTGGCGTGCCCCTGAGTTCAATCCCTGGTATCCCTCCCCCCACCCCCCAAAAAAAGAAGTACTACAATATGATCCAGTAGTTCCACTTCTGAGTGTCATACCTGAAAGAATTCAAAGCAGGATCTTGAAGAGGTATTTGCAGCACAGTCCTGTTCATAATAGCATTATTCACGTTAGTAACAATCCAAATGTCCATTGATTCAACTAATGAAAGGATAAACAAAATTATACATGTATGTATGTATGTATGAATATACACACACATATATATATATATACACAATAGCATATTATTCAGCTTTGAAAGGAAGGAAATCCTGTCACTTGTTGCAAAATGGATGAACTGTGAGGACATTACATTAGTAAGTGAAGTAAATCAGTCACAAAAGACAAATACTCTATGATTCCACTTATAAGAAGTATCTAAAGTAGTTGAATTTATGCAAAAAGACAACAGAATGGTAGTGGTCAAGAAATGAGGGGAAGGAAAATGAGGAGCTATTGTATAATAAGTTTAGTGCTTCAATTTTGCAAGATGAAAAAGATCCAGAGACTCTGTTGCACAACAGTATCACTATATTTAACACTTTGAACTATATACTTAAAAATTCATATGGTCAATTTTTTTTCCACAAAGTTTTTTAAAAGCATATTTGACTGTAAACTTTTTCATTCCCCAGTGCAGTGGACTTCATTGGACGATGCTATTTCACCGAAATCTGCAAATGTAAACTTAAGGACATCGCGTGTTTAAAATGGTAATTTGTGGCACTATTCTAGATAGTCTAAGTTTGGAAGATGGATGTTGACAGCAAAGCACAGAGAAAGGTTCAGTGGACTGCAATGAACACTGATATAACCCATGCAATGAGCCATTGAAACACCATTTGTTACTTAGATCTATTTTTTAAAAGAGTCTGTGATACTTCACATTGGTATATGATTTTGTAATTTTTTCAAAGTGCACTCACAAGTATTTGCTTTGTTTGTTTTTCCAAAATAAGACAATGAAGTTTAGAGGGAAATACTGGGAATTATAGTCATAAAAGTCATATTTGAGCTCTTGCCCTACCTTTACTCTCTATATGATCTTTTGGAAATTCCTTAAACCTCTAAATCTCTGGGCCCCTGTTTTCTTACTTAATTTCTATATTATTGAGATAGAAACTTAAATGTCTTCTGTATTGACCCTTTAAAGTTGTTGTGAAGATAAAATGAATTATGAATGTTAAGAGGCTTGATAAACTATAAATAAAACATAAAAGATAGCTACTACTTATATTTTGAGGTAGACAGATTTGTGTTATTATTCCTATTATAAAGAAAAATTGAGGTTTTCTCATTTTAATGGGGCTTGAATTACAAATTATAATCCTAATAATTTAAATAAGCAAACTGCTATATGCTAATGACTCTCTGAAATTGTTCTTTCAAACAATAATTATATTGAGTGCCTAACATTATTATAGGGACTGGAAACACAATAGTAATTGAGAGAGTCACTAGCCTGTGTACATTCTATACTAGTGGGAAGATGATCAATCTTTATGGTATTTAAATGAATAATATTTTTAACATGATGGGAAGTACTTCAGAGTAAAGAAGAAGAAGAAGAAGTGATAGAAAATAATATAAGTTGGGAAAGTAGGTGAGTTATTTTAGATATCATGGTCAGGGAAGCCATCTCATAAAGATGTCACATTGGAATTGAGTCCTAAAGAATGAGAAAGAGACAGAGGAAGAATGTTCTAGACAGAGGGAATAGCTAATGCAAAGAGCCCATGGCAAGAAGAAGCTTAACATGCTAAAGGAATAAAAAGATGATGGTCAATATGACTAAGATGCGAGCATGGTGGGAGAACAGTATAAACAGGTTAAAGAACATAGATAATCTCGAGCAGTGTTGTCCAATAGAAATACTAAAGTCATATATGTATTTAAATTTCTCTAGTAATATTTTAAAAGTTAAACAAGTGAAGTTAATTTTAACTTAAATATACATCATTATTTAAATATATATATTTTAATTAATCCAACATATCTAAGATATTATTGCAACTATAAACAACAAATTATTAATGAGACATTATACATTCTATTTTTTGTTCTTAGTCTTTGAAATCTGGTATACAGTTTATCCTTACAGCACATTTCAATTTAGGCCAGCCACATTTCAAGTGCTCAATAGCCACATGGGGCTAGTGGCTATTGTTTCAGACAGCACAGATCTTGACCTTGGTGTGATTGGTTTTTTTTCTTTTCTTTTCTTTTCTTTTGGCCAACAGGAAGTCATTGAAGGGGTTTTTAACAATGGAGAAAAATAATCTGATATAGTCCCACTAGTACGTTAGTTCCATGAGATTAAGAACTTAGTATAGAACTGGATTCTTAGTATAGAACAATACCTGGCATATAACAGGTACTCAAAAAACATTATTTGAGTGAATGAATGAATGAATGGATGGATGGATAAATTAATATAATAAAGCCATAGATTTACTCTGGCAATATAGTCTTACAAATAATTGTCAGCCCTGGTCCAAGAAAGGTTTTTGTTTTCATTTGTTTGTTTGTAAGCAAGTGATGATCAGAAGACATATTTTAAGTAGACTGGTACTTTAATGGTATTTTTTAAGGGTCTAGCAAAAGTGACTTACTCCCACATCTCACAGGATGACACCAAGCTCTAGAAGAATTTTTACAATTCAAGGTAGAAACAGTTATTTTAAGTACTAACTCAAACATTCCCTATAGGTCCGCTCTAGTATGTGACTAAGTAGTTTTTAAAAAATTGAGTGTGTGAGAAAGAGTGAGGTACTTATAATCAGCTGAATAATACTGAATACAGTAAAAACTTTTTCCAACTTTCTCTAGAGGCTGAGGGTTTGCTTTATTTCTGAATTCCTTCAAAAAAAAAAATGAAACTAAAATTAGAGCGACCATCTTGTGTTTGGTTTTCAGGGACTCATGCTGTCTTCCTACTCCTCCATCTGTTGAAACATTTTTTAGGTGCTGGCATGGAACTAGAACATAGAAGAACCCAATTTGCCATGGTCCTGAGGATAGCAAAAACCTTTACCCACAGATCTGAGCGTATTTAATATATTCTGTCTACATTGCTATACATCAATATGGGTACTTTACAGAACAAATCACAACCTTGTATTTGTACTTTCAGAACAAATCACATCCAGAAGCTAGCTTTTGAAGGAAAAATTACACTAGCAAAGAAAATTTCACTTAACTTGCAGACTGTTTTCCCACTTGATAATAGTACTGCAGTCATTATTATTAGAGTTAATTCCAATCCCAAAGATCCTACCAGTAGCGGGTAATTTGGAAGAAATGGGGATCTAAATTATATGGTCTATTTACATTAGCACATAAAAATGCTTCTATGGACCAGATATTACATGGTATCTAATAACATTTACTTTTGTTTTTAGTGGGAACATTGTAGGTTATCATGTGATTGTTCCATGTAATTCCTGCCTTCTTTCCTGCAACAACGGACACTTCTGGATGTTTCACAGCCAGGCAGTTTATGGTATAAACAGACTTGACTCCACTGGTAAGAAACAATTAACTTAAGTATCTCTGGAACATTTCTCTATCAGTAAACTGAGAAGACTCCCAATAGATCATTTCCGAATTCCTCTGAGACCTTCATGACTGGGTTGGATCAGTTAGTGAAATTTTTTTTAACTTTTTTTTTAAATATACCTTTATTTTATTTATTCATTTTTATGTGGTGCTGAGGATCAAACGCAGCGCCCTGCACATGCCAGATGAGTGCTCTACCACTCAGCCCCAGCCCCAGCCCCAGTTAGTGAAATTTTAATCGTTTTCCCTTAGACATTCATTTATAAAGACTCTTGGTCAAAATTTATTGCCATTTCTGTTTATCATTGTATGTAAGAACTTCCAACTTGGCTTGATTTCATGGTCTTTTTAAAGTAATATTTTAATTGCTGTAAACTACAACCTTGAAACATTCTGGCTCCAGAGAATTTTTGAAGATTTTAGATTAAACAATCAATTGTGTGTGTGTGTGTGTGTGTGTGTGTGTGTATAAAGGAGATTTGGAGCAGTGTGGATGGAGAAGGAGGACTAGGCAATCTCTGTATTTGGTGATTCTTCAGATAAAAATAGACATTCTGACATCTATATTAATAAGTTATGATAAAATTTTAGTCAATGGAAATATTTAACATCAAAGTGTTTTTTAATTATTTTAGTAAGAAAATATACTATCCATTCTTTTTTTTTTGCCATCACACCCATCTTAATTATTGTGATAATGTACAAAATATAAAGTTTGCTATTTTAACACATCTTTAATATGTATAGTTCCATGGCATTAAGTACATTTATAGATGGGTATGGTTATATACCAACAAAATTATGTTTGTATACATCAGAGCTATATCCTCAGCCCTGATTTACTACCAAATCTTAAGGTAATCATATGATCCTTTTTATATTGTCCAGAGTCATTCATTTTGTTACAGAAATCATGTTCTCAATGTCTAATATCTATTTATATAACAAACCAAGTTGACATTAAGGAACTTGACATTCTAATTTGACACTAAAATGCTCCGGGTTCTCAATGTATATTTTAGTCTTCTTTGGAACATAAGATGTATATTTTTTTCTTTTTTTAATTAAAAATTTTCTTTGTTTTAATTAGTTATTTATGACAGTAGAATGCATTTATGCACTTTGATATATCATACATAGATGGGATATAATGTCTCATTTTTCTGAGTGTACATGTTGCAGAATCATATTGGTCATGCAGTCACATATATGCATACAGTAATAATGTCTGTTTTATCTATTTTATTCTATTGTCTTTCCTATCCCCACATCCCCTCCCCTCCTCTCCCATCACTTCCCTCTACCTAATCTAAGGTAATGCTGTTCTTCTCTAGTGCCCCCCACCTTATTGTGAATTAGCATCCACATATTAGAGAAAATATTTGGCTTTTGGTTTTGTGAGATTGGCTTATTTTGCTTAGCATGATATTCTCCAACTCCATCCATTTACTGGCAAATGTCATAATTTCACTCTTCTTTAAAGCTGAGTAATATTCCATTGAGTATATATACTACATTTTCTTTATCCATTCATCTACTGAGGGATACATAGGTTGGTTAGCTACTGTAAATTGAGCTGCTATAGACATTGATGTGGCTGCATCACTACAGTATGCTGATTTTAAGTTCTTTGGGTATAAACCCAGGAGGAATAGCTGGGTCAAATGGTAGTTCCAATCCCAGTTTTCTGAAGAATCTCCAAATTGCTTTCCATAGATGTTGCACCAATTTGCAGTCCCACCAGCAATGTATGAGTGTACCTTTTTTCCCACATCCTCCCCAACATTTATTATTTCCTGTATTCTTGATGATTGCCATTCTGACAGGAATGAGATGAAATCTTCGTATAGTTTTGATTTGCATTTCTCTAATTGCTAGAGATGTTGAATACTTTTTCATATATTTGTTGATTGATTGTATTTCTTCTGTGAAATGTCTGTTCAGTTCTTTAGCCCTTTTATTGATTAAGTTATTTATTTTTTTGGTGGTAAGTTTTTGAGTTCTTTATATATCCTAGAGATTAATGCTTTATCAGAGGTGCCTGTGATAAAGATTTTCTCCCAGTCTGTAGGCTCTCCTCACGTTATTGTTTCCTTTGCTGAGAAGAAACTTTTTAATTTGAGTCCATGCCATTTATTGATTCTTAATTTTATTTCTTGCACTTTAGGAGTCTTGTTAAGGAAGTCAGATCCTAGGCTGACATGGTGAAGATTTGGGCCTATTTTTTCTTCTATTAGGTGCAGGGTCTCTGTTCTAGTGCCTAAGTCTTTGATCCACTTTGAGTTGACTTTTGTACAGGGTGAGAAATAGAGGTTTAATTTCATTTTGCTACATATGGATTTCCAGTTTTGCCAGCACCATTTGTTGAATAAGCTATCTTTTCTCCAGTGAATGTTTTTGGCACCTTTGTCTAGTATGACATAACTATTATTTATATGGGTTTGTCTCTGTGTCCTCTATTCTGTACCATTGGTCTACAAGTCTATGTTGGTGCCAATACCATGCCATTTTTGTTATTATAGCTCTGTAGCATAGTTTAAAGTAAGGTATTGTGATGCCTCCTGTTTCACTTTTCTAAGGATTGCTTTAGCTATTCTGGGTCTCTTATTTTTCCAAATAAATTTAATGATTGCTTTTTCTATTTGAATGAAGAATGTCATTGGGATTTTAATAGGATGCATTAAATCTGTATAATGCTTTTGGGTAATATGGCCATTTTGACAATATTAATTCTGCCTATCCAGGAACATAAGAGATCTTTCCATCTTCTGAGGTTTTCTTCAATTTCTTTCTTTAGTGTTCTGTAGTTTTTATTGTAGAGGACTTTCACCTCTTTTGTTAGATTGATTCCCAGGTTGTTGTTGTTTTTTGTTTTGTTTTGTTTGAGGCTATCGTGAATGGGGTAGTTTTCTAATTTCTCTTCCAGTGGATTCATCACTGATGTATAGGAATGCATTTGATTTATGGGTGTTGCTTTTATATCCTGCTACTTTGCTGAATTCATTTATTAGTTCTAAAAGTTTTCTGGTGGAATTTTTTGGATCTTCTAGATATAGAATCATGTCATCAGCAAATAGTGATAGTTAGAGTTCTTCTTTACCTATTTGTATCCCTTTAATTTTTTTTCTTTTATCTAATTTCTCTGGCTAGAGTTTCAAGGATGATGTTGAATAGAAGTGGTAAAAGAGGACATCCTTGTCTTGTTCCAGTTTTTAGAGGGAATACTTTCAATTTTTCTCCATTTAGAATGATGCTGGCCTTGGGCTTAGAATATGTAGCTTTTACAGTGTTGAGGTATGTTCCTACGATCCCTAGTTTTTCTAGTGTTTTGAACATGAATGTGTGCTGTATTTTGTCAAATGCTTTTTCTGCATCTATTGAGATGATCATTATGATTTTTGTTTTTAAGTCTATTAATATGATGAATTACATTTATTGATTTCTGAATGTTGAACCAACCCTGCATCCTGGGATAAACTCCACTTGGATCATGGTATGCTATCTTTTTAATATATTTTTGCATTTGCCAGAATTTTATTGAGAATTTTTGCATCTATGTTCTTCAGGAATATTGGTCTGAAGTTTTCTTTCCTTGATGTGTCTTTGTCTGGTTTTGGTATCAGGGTGATCATAGAATGAGTTTAGAAGGGTTCCTTCCTTTTCTATTTCATGGAATACTTTAAGGAGTATTGGTGTTAATTCTTCTTTGAAAATCTTGTAGAACTCGGCTGAGAATCCATCTGGTCCTGGGCTTTTCTTGGTTGGTAGGCTTTTGATGGCATTTTCTATTTCATTACTTGAAATTGATCTGTTTAAATCGTTATGACCTCATTCAGTTTGGGTAGGTCATATGACTCTAGAAATTTGTCGATGTCTTCGATATTTTCTATTTTCTATTATTAGAGTATAAATTTTCAAAATAGTTTCTAATTATCATCTGTATTTCAGATATGTCTGTTTTGATATTTCCTTCTTCATCTTGTATTTTAGTAATTTGAGTTTTCTCTCTTAGTTTCTCTTTGTTAGCATGGCCAGGGGTTTATCTATTTTATTTATTTTTTTCAAAGAACCAACTTTTTTTGTCAATTTTTTTCCATAGCTTCTTTTGTTTGGATTTCATTGATTTCAGCTCTGATTTTAATTATTTCCTGTCTTCTATTACTTTTGCTGTTGATTTGTTCTTTTTCTAGGGCTTAGACACATAGTGTTAGGTCATTTATTTGTTGACTTTTTATTCTTTTAATAAATACACTCAATGCAATAAACTCTCCTCTTAGTGCTACCTTCATAGTGTCCCAGAGATTTTGATTTGTTGTATCAGTGTTCTTATTTACCTCTAAGAATTTTTTTATTTCATCCTTGATTTCTTCTACTATCCACTCATCATTTAATTGTGTATTATTTAGTCTCCATTTGTTACAGTAGCTTGTATTTTTTATTTTATCATTGATTTCTAATTTCATTCCATTGTGGTCTGATAGAATGCAAGATATTATCTCTGGTTTTTTTTTGTATTTACTAAGAGTTGCTTTGTGGCATAAGATATTGTCTATTTTAGAGAAGGAGCCATGTGAGGCTGAGAAGAAAGTATATTTTCTTATTGATGGATGAAATATTCTATATATGTCTGTTAAGTCTAAATTATTGATTGTATTATTTAGTTCTATAGTTTCCTTGTTTAGTTTTTGTTTAGAAGATCTGTCCAGTAGTGAGAGAGATGTGCTAAAGTCACCCAGTATTATTGTATTGTGGTCTAATTGACTCTTAAAATCAAGAAGGGTTTGTTTGATGTACATAGATACTCCATTGTTTGGGGCATAAATATTTATAATTGTTATATCCTGCTTATATATACTTCCCTTAAGATGTATGAAATGTCCTTCTTCGTCTCTTCTGATTAACTTTGGTTTGAAGTCTATTTTATCTGAGATGAGAATGGAAACCCCTGCTTATTTACCCAATACATAT